TCTTAAACGGAGTTTTAAAACTAGTTTTATGGAGGAATATGGAAACCCAAATGAATATCATACTGACGTATCTCCCCAAAAGTCTGAAAACCTCTGAAAAATTCACTTATTATGTAGTGTTCCTTCATGAAATTTTAATCTATGATACAGGTAGTATTATTGTCTTTTCAATTATTTCAAATTTTACTTTTAATTTTGAACATAAAGCCCCTCTAAAATCATGAGAAGTGAAGAGATAATGTGTATATTTATGTGTATAATTTTATCCAATAATAAAGCAAAAAGCACAAATATGAAATAGTTTACATTATTATTCTGTAAGAATAACAAATCACTTTTATTTATACATAATATTAACCACATATATTTTCAATTTCATTATATCATATTATCAATATACTGGGGTGACCATACATTTTTCTTGTAGTTTATAAGTTAAACCTATTTAACATCTTTGGATATTCTTTTCCTCAATTTCTTGAATCTTCTTACAAGTTTGGAGTTCATTTTACAATTATTTCGTGCAGATTATTTTCCATTAAGTACTGCAAATAGATACCGCTGTCGTCATACTTTTCAAACTACGTCATTTGGATTATTTTGTATAGTTAACTCTGGAATCATTTAAAAAATTTCTTATATAAGGATTTTTCCCCTACTCAATTTTATCATGGGGAACACTGTAAAATTATTCCTCCGTATAATCTGAAATCTTATAATTCCTCAATTTTTAAACCTTTTTAGTTACACATTTAAAAAATTTGTTCACATCCTTCAATTTCACATCTTTCTGAATGAATAGTCACACTACCAGAGTTTAACAAATATTTTCAGTCTCAGTTGCTATCTCTAATGTTGTAATCCTGACACTAACTGTGAAGTGATACAGTCTCCTAGAGGTGTTTGAAATGTATTATTTTTCTTAGGAATATGATTTTGACTTTTTCCCCTATTTTGGGTCATTTGATTATTAGTCTGCTTACATCTATATTAATTCTATTTATTCTTTTTAGGGTTCATTTTTCTATTTCTCTTCTAATATATTTTTTTCTTCAGCGCTTCTCCTCTGGTCTTCACATTTATAAGTTTTTTTCACTATTTTGATTATAAAGAAATATTTTAATTTTGAGCATGTAGAGAATCTGTTCTTTTTAAATTCTTTTTTAAAAAAATTCTTTCATTGGTACATTTTAGGTATACAATATGTTTACATTTATCACTGGGTGTTTGTACCTGTACATGATGTATCTTGGTTCTTATTTTTTTTCCCCCATTACTGGTGCGCCCTTCACCCCCTCCACCCCTCCCTATTTACATAGATTTCATTTTTGTTTTTTTCTGTTCTCATATTTTTTCCTTTGCCTTCTTTCCTTTCCCCTTCCTCTCCCACCACCCCTTCCTTTTAAATTAGTAAGTTTATTGGTACATTTTAGGTATACCATATGATGACATTAATCACTGGGAATTTGTACTTTTACATGATATACCTTGGTTCTTACCTTTTTCTCCATTCCCCTGCCCTCCCTTCAACCCCTCCACCCCTCCCTATTTACAAAGACTTTGTTTCTATTTTTTTCCTTTTCTTATATTTATTCTTGTCCCTTCTTTCCTTTCTCCTACCCTTCCAAATTCCCCTTCCCCTTTAGACCTTTTCTTCCTATTTCACATTATCTATTATACATTTTTATCCTTATTTATATTTTCGGTTTCTCACACCAGAGAAACTATTTAGTATTAACACATGTGTGTCCTATTTATTTCTCTTTCACTTAAGATTATGGCCTCATGCCGGGGATTTAGCTCAGTGGTTCCGCCGCCTGCCTCGCAAACGCAAGGACCCAGGTTCGATCCCCAGTACCAAAAAAAAAAAAGACTATGGCCTCAATGTGCATTCATTTAGCTATAAATGTCTCTTATTTCTCATTCTTTATGGCTGAGTAGTACTGCATTTTATAAAAAAACCCACCTCTTCTTTATCCAGTTTCCAGTTGATGGCCAATTGGGCTATTTCCAAGTTTTACCTATTACAAACTGTGCTGCTATAAACATGGGTGCGCATATATCGCTGTGGTATGATTCTTTTAATTCTTTTGGGAAGATACCCAGCAGGGGAATAGCTGGGTCAAATGGGATCTCTAATCTTAGTTCTTTGAGATATCTCCATATTGATTTCCACAGTGGTTGCACCAGTCTACACTCCCACCAACAGTGGAGAAGGGTTCCTTTTTCCCTACAACCCCTCCAGCATTTATTATTGATTGATTTCTTGATAGCCACCATTCTTTCTGGAATAAGGTGGAATTTCAGTGTTGTTTTCATCTGCATCTCTCAAATGACCAGTGATGTTGAACATTTTTTTTTTCATATGTTTATTTGCTGTTTCTATTTCTTTGCCTGAGAAATGTCTTTTCATTTCATATGCCCATTTTTGGGTTGGGTCTTTAAATTTGAGAGATCTTATATTTTTTTTAATGGTGAAAATGATGTGTATTTAGAATTAGCCAGCTGGACTCAGTTTAGATGATCCCAATTTTGTTGGCAACATCCAAAGCATCGTATTCAGGAGCCAGTTGAACATACGCCTTCTCTCCAGCAGGCCTGAGTAGGAGACTGACCTTGACCACCTCAGTGTCATAGAGCTTCTTCACAGCTTGTTTGCTCTGGTGCTTGTTGGCCTTGAGATCCATAATGAACACGAGTGTGTTGTTGTTCTCTGTCTTCTTCATGGCTGACTCTGTGGTCAGGGGAACTTGATGATGGTATAATGGTCAAACTTGCTTCTCCTGGGGCCACTTTTCTGAGGGTATTTCAGCTGCCACTGAAACCGCAGTGTCTTGGGATGGCATAAGGTGGGTGATGTGTGGATTTTCTTCTTTTTGTGGCTGTGGATGCCTTTCAGGACTGCTTTGTTGGCTTTCAAAGCTTTTGCTTTGGCTTCAGCTTTGGGAGGGGCAGGAGCTTCCTTATTTGCCTTTGGTGCCATCTTGGTAAAAAGGGATTTTTAAAAGTTCTTTTTATATTCTAAATGGTAGACTTTTGTCTGAGGAACAGCTGATAAAAATTTTTTCTCACATTGTGGGTTGTCTCTTCACTCTGTTGGTGGTTTCTCTTAAAGTGCAGAAGCTTTTTAAAAAGATGAGATTCCAGTTGATGATTCTTTGTGCTAGCTCATGTGCTACTGAGGTTTTGTTCATGAAGTCTTTTCCTATGCCAATGTCTTCAAGAGTTCTACCTAACCTCTCTTCCAGATGGTTTAATGTTTCAACTTGCCAAAGATTAAAACTAGATCTATTTCTCTCACCATGTTTATACATCACAGTATTATATTAACACAAACTGTCCTATTAAGTATACTGTTGGACTTTGTTGAATCTCACTTAGGGATTGGTTGCATGTCTATGTTTTCTCCTGGTCTCATGTGTGCCTGAGAAGGAAAGATGCATATGTAACAGGGACTGTGTGTGTGTGGTGTTTCTGTGGATGCCTGGTCACCATTGTGAACAGTTGTGCACAATTTTTTAATATTCTGAGTGACATTTCATCTGCAAATAAGAATTATTAAAATAGCACAGTTAGCCGGGGATTTAGCTCAGTGGTTCCGGCACCTGCCTCACAAGCACAAGGTCCTGAGTTCGATCCCTGGTACCACCCCCCCCCCAAAAAAAACAAAAACAAAATAAAATAGCACAGTTAAAATCTCCCAAAACAATGGTAGATTTAATCATGTTTTTTGTAATTCTCTCTGCTTTTACATCACATATATAGGTAACATAAATATTTGAATATGTTTAATGTTTTAGGATAAATATAATGCCTTTCTTTATATTCTATAACTTTGCTCCCTTAGAGTTTATTTTGTCCCATATTATTGAAGCCAACTAGGATTTTTTTTTTTTTACGATTACAGATAATTTTTAAAATTAACTCTTGGGTAAGAAGTGGTTTTTAAACATTTTCACTTTTACATCAAATTAGGTATTGATTACATGTATTGTAAAATAAAGCAGATCTTCCCACTTCACAGCTCATGTTAGATTTAACAGTCTCTTCACTGACTCTTTGTACTGAGAAAGGGTAATTTCATTTTCCCCCTCATTCTTAAGACTAACAAGAGACTTTTGAGAATTTTCAACCTCTTTAGTACCAAGGAGCTCTTCTTTATTTGCTTCCATGTTTTTCTCAGCAATGCTAATTTGAAGAAGTGTTTCCAGGATATTTTTTTCTGAGGAGCTATTTTTCCATATATATTCTTCCATGTCTGCTTCAGTCTTATTTTTTCCCATTCTTCAGTTTTCCAAGATTCATGGTATGATACTGTCAGTAGCTACAGTGCATAATCATAGTAGATACAGTGCATAATCATAGTTCTGTCTCTTTAAAGGGCATCTATCTGTTTTGATGGTGAGTACATCTGTAGTCTTGCAGTATCGTTCTTCTACAAGTTTAATCAATTTCTTCTTTGCATGATCATCTAAATTCAAACTGGAAAGTTTCACCCTTAAGGTTACTCCTCATGCTTTGGGGTTTCGAACAGATGGTCCTGATGAAACATAATCAGCAGTGTCAATTTCAATTGGAAAATGCTTCGCACATTTCTCATCACTGTCTAGTGCGCTGGCCACTCGGTGCAGAAATCTTTAAGAGCTTGGCAGTGCTTTTTAATTGTTACAGGAGTCAAACGCAGAAAATTAGGGATCTTTAGAAGTTCTAGATTTCCTTCCTTTGCCATAGGAACGCCGTTTTTCACTGGATAACCCATCGGAACAGGGAGAGGCACTGCAGAGGGCTTAAAGGGCCCTGCAACAGGGTAAACACTAGGCCAGTCCTGGTCGACAGCCATTTTCTCTGTTCTAAGAGGTAGTGCCTGTCTCCTCATTTGCCTTTCACTTTTGGATGTTCTTTCTCCTGGATGCGGGCTCGGTCTCCGAGCGTGAGTGGCCGGGGTCACGGCGGTGGAGAAGGCCTGCACGGTGAACCGCCACGGGAGCACGGCGGCCGCCATGGCTGCAAGAACGGCAAGCAGAAAGCCCAACCAGCATTTTATTGCTTAGTTCATAGTGTTAGGTCTTCCGTGTATGTCTTTAATCTTATTTGAATAAATTTTTCTTTATGATATTCTCAAGGTCCTCAGTCATTCTTTTGGACATGTAAATCCACTGTTCTCATCACCCCTAAGTGAATTATGTATCTTTCACCACTGGGCATCCCCTATGCCATTGTCAACGTTAGTTCGTTGTAAATATTTGGGTTTATGTTAGAAATATTTATTTTTTTATTAGTCAATAAAAGTATTTTTATGCCAGCACCATACTGATTACCTAATTATAGTTTGGTGGTACAGTTTCAAAATAAGAGGTCTAATGATCAGATTTTGTTTTTTCCAGTTCAAAATTGTTTTGGTTATTGGGTATACTGTATTTTGTGGTTCCATATGAAATTTAAGATTAGGTTTTCTAATTCTGTAAAAAATGCTCTTAGAATTTTTATTGTGATTACATTGTCTTTATAAACCACTTTAAGGTACATATACTTTTAGTGCTATTAATTACTTAATTCTTGCTTAAGTACCGTTGCTAAGTCCTCCAATACTAACCTAAATAGAAGGAGCAGGAGTGAGAATCCTTTTCTTGTTCCTCATCTTAGTAGAAAAGCTTTCAGCTCATCATTATTAAGAAGCCAGCTGTGGACTTGTCATTCATGGCTTTTACTATGTTAGGTTACATTCCTTATACAGCTTTAGAGTTCTTACTGAAAAAAGTTACAGAATACTGTACTACCAAATATTTCTCTCTATTGAGATTTCCATACAGGTAGTTCTCATGTTTTAGCCATAAACACAGTCTAGCCTCCCAGGTGACCCTGAACTAGATTTCAAATCTTCAAGGAAAAACAAATTCATTAAGAAGGCTAAAAGTTTTTTTAAAACTTGTAATGATGTCTGGAATGTTTGATAACTGATATATTTTGTATCCTACTAATGTTTTAGTAAGGCTCATACATTTTGGAGGTGGTGGGATTGGGGGCTGAAGTTACCTTTGTGTGCTTAGCATAGTAATCCATTTTTTTCTGTCTCCAGGTGCAGGAATCCTCTGGTCTCTGGGCTGCACAAGACTTCCTTCTATCTGTAAGTCCCCAATAAACTGCATTTGTGCAATCCTGGATGCTTTTGCTTTTGACTTTTCAACACATTCTTCATGTGATGATTAGTTCTCAAACACGGTGCTTTCCAAAACAGTAAGTGTGTGAAACTGACAAATAAGTTGGGACATCTGTGATTTGCAATTGGCAGAATCTCTTACCAAATCCAAATGACACATCCTGCAATAGACTTCCTGTAAAATTACTGGGCTAGAATTGGTCAAAAAAGATCCCAGTTGAGTTTGGGAGTTAGAGGCTCATCATCTTTTAAATATTAAGTCATTCAGGGTCAATCACAGAAGCAGAGACTTTCAAATGGCTCCACCTTCCAAGGTGATATTCAAACAATGGGCCCAGGCCAACTAACAAGCACTTGGCTACAGATTTCTCAGCTCTAAGACATCTGCAGTAGTTGCCAATTTAAAATCACCTTTGCAAGCACACAGCCAAACCATTTGGATTTTCTCAGCAGCCCTTCTCTCCCTTTAGCATTTGTGTGACAGAGAAATGTACTTAGGGATGCCCGTACATCTGAATGCAGTTTCTAGATTTCCTATGAAGAGTTTCCCACACCTTTAAAAATTTTGTTTGATGATGACGGATGAATGAATTTTGACTAATAGATAGAGGATGAAAAGCCACTGCTTAGTGAAAATTAACAAAATATGAATGATCAAAGGGCTGAAATGTAAAACTGAAACAGTCACATCATATAGTAAACATAAGATGCATTTTCAAACTGACAGTGTGGTCAAGATTCATCAATCATACTAGATTCAACAAATTCAAAAAATTCATACTCACAAAACCAAATTATAAATTTTATAAAAGGAATAAGAGATTATAGAGGGATAATACTCTAACATTGCATGTGTTCAATAAATAATTTCAATGTGGCTTCTTCTCACTAAACAATGAGAATATTATTACTACAGTAAGTATAAAGGCTAAAGTAGAAAATTGTGTGGAGGAAAAAGAAAATAGAGCTTGGTTAGTTTAGAATCCTTTCATGGGCTTTGTCAGAACGAGGGAAATATATATGGAATCCAGCAGAAGCATAACTATGGAAAAAGATAACATTGTGTGCACAAGAAAACCCTGGTCAGAGGAAAGGTGCATCTCCAACCAAATGATACAGAAGAAAACTCCAAAACTCAATTAATAGAGATGAAATATTGATTATGATTTTCAATGTCAACCCTAGATAGATTTTATATCATCCTTGTTCTGACTATATTGATAATCTACTAATTCTTTTTCTACAACATGTATAAGAAAGTGTGCAGCATTGCAAAAGAGTTTGGAAGTTTTACCTCTGTGCTGCAAAACAATGTAACAGCCCAGATGTTTCCCAAAGGGTGGCATGTTCTCTCCAGATCACCAAGATACTTTTGGTTTACATCTATCTGTCCTTGTCACACTACTGTCACCGAGGAAGGTAAAATTTTACTAAAAAGACTGCAATGAAATACAGATGAAAGGCATTCTGTGTATATGTGTCCAGTTTCCTAGGCTGCATTAAACTTTTCTATGACCAGGACATATGTTTCAACTAATTTGAGCCATGGTGGGTTACTAACAATGAGTCCAAGAGGAAATTGTTTAAAAACACCCAAAATAAACAACTATAAAAAGGAAAGTGTTCAGATAAAAAAAAGTGGACTTTACATCTGTTGCTACCTAGAAATACACAGATTAGTTGTTCGGCTGGGTTTATGGACTGCGGTGTAAGGGTCAGTTCCCTGTTGTGGCAGTTGTCCTGTGGACTGTTTATCATTGTGGGATATTTACCAGCAATTTTTACCTCTACTATCTACATATCAATTTCTCTGCACAAAGTTGTGGGAACCAAATATTTGAAACACTACTGGTCAACCTGTGGGTTGGGAGGAGAGACAAAACGTCCCCACTCAGAACACCCTCACTGCTAGATGAGTATTTAACGATCCTGACCAGGAAGAATTGTGTGTGCAGCCAAAACTGGAACAAAGGTCAAGGGTGCCTGTTCAATAATGTCCTTCAGAGACCTTAGGAGGTTGGAACTGGTTTACAAATGAAATGCAACTTGATATTGTGTCAAATCTCATTTCGTATATAAAATTCTTTGTAACATGCAATTGCCTTTCACATGGGCCAAAAGGTCCCCACTTCTAGTCGACTAGACTGGAGGTGTCACCAAGGGATCCCACTTCTTCAGAGCAAGTACTGCTGTACTGCAAGGTTCTCATGAGTCCCTGGACACCAGTTTCTGGAACAGCTACATCCACTGTTGAAAAATGAGTGTGGGACAAATCACCATCTCCTTAAATCCTGAATTGTTTCTGGATAATCTTCCACAAGACCACTTTTGTTTTTTCTATTGCTAGTTTATGTTTGCAATGCATAATAATTACATTCATCTTGGAGTACTGGTGCATATACATATTGCATCTTGATCATTTTTTCTTCCATTCCCAAATCTTCCCTCTCCCCTTCTCCCCTAATCACACCCTAATCTCTTCAAAGTCTACCTCCTTAATTCTTACCATCTCTCTTTTATTTAGCATAAGCTCATTTTGAATATAATTTTACAATACAAATTTATCTTTCATTTTAGACTTGGCTAATCTAATTAAACAAATATTTAGAAAATGTTCCTTGGTATAATATTTTTTGGCATTCTCCTTTTCTCTCAGATTTGTATTGGTGTTATGATGAACTCATCACTGTTTGCGATATTTATGTATACTTTTTTAACTCAGCCTAATCTTATGAAGCCCGTAGATTTCATTATGATCCATCTGACAGTGGTCAATACTTTGAATATCATCTTCACATTAATTCCACATATCATGGCATTATTTGGAGTAAGATATTTTTTGGATGACATTGGTTGTAAGGTAATTTCGTACACATACAGAATTACTCGGGGTGTTTCCATCTCAACTACCTCTCATCTGAGTGCATTTCAAGCCATCACTATCAGCCCTATGAATTCTATGTGGGTCTGGTTTAAGTCTAAACTTTCTTCATGGATTTTCCCCTCTTTCTTTGTCTTCTGGATTATCAACATGCTCATTTATATACACATCATTGAAACTGTAAGAGCCAATGGCAATTTCACTATTGTTGATCATAAATATTTTCATGCATACTGTCAAACTAGGCCATCTGAAAGCCACACTTCAGGACTATTTTCCAGCATCATGTTGATGGATGATCTCTTGTTTTTGGTCCTCATGATCTGGGCCAGCCTCTACATGGTGAGTCTCCTCTACAGACACCAGAGGAGAGCCCAGCATGTCCACAGACACAGCCTCTCTTCCCAGCCATCTCCTGAAATAAAAGTCACCCACAGTATCCTTTTAGTGGTAAGCCTCTTTGTGTTCTTCTATTGCTTGAAAAATTATTTTACTTATTATTCCTTTTATGGGCAGAAAAAGTTCCCAGGGTCTTTGGGCATTGGTGAAATGTTATCAGTGTGCTACCCAATCATCTGCCCTTTTATGATCATGAAGAATAAAAAAATTATTTCCTACTTCATTTCTTCCCTTTCAGGTACAAGAATTGTCTGTCCTAAAAGAGTACATAGTGGCTGATCTAACACTTGATCGGCAACAGAGTACGGTCCCTAGTGATTCAGATGATAAAAGTAATGCTGTATTTCTTTTGAGCATGGTGAGGTTTTAAAGTCACATATTGAATAAATGTAAAGAAAATTCAGAAATGAAAATGTTCTTTAAAAAAATATCTTTTAGGGGCAGGGATTTAGCTCAGTGGTTCCGCCACCTGCCTCACAAGCGGAAGGACCCAAGTTCGATCCCTGGTACCAAAAAAAAAAGTTTTCCAAATAACAAATCACTACCCCAATAAACTTAAAAAAAATTCATTAACCTTTATACTTTACATAGAAGACCCAAAAAACTCGGGCAAAAGTCTTCTAGGCCTAATTGACAGATTCAGTAGAGTAGCTGGATACAAGGTCAACACTCAAAAAATAATAGCCTTCTTGTACGCAAATAGCAGACTCATTGAGAGAGAAATTCAGGAAATAATTCCTTTTACAATAGCATCTAAAAAAATGAAATATCTAGGAATCAACCTAACAAAGGAAGCAAAAGACCTCTACACTGAAAACTATAGCACTTGGAAAAAGGAGATCAAGAGGATATAAGAAAATGGAAAGATATCCCTTGTTCCTGGGTATGGTGAAAATGGCCATACTTCCAAAACTACTACATAGATTTAATGCAATGCTGATTGAAATTCCAACAATATACTTCACAGAACTAGAGAAAACAATCCAAAAATTCATTTGAAATCAGAAGAAACCTAGAATAGCAAAAGCAATTCTAGGCAACAGAGACATGGCTGGGGGTATCACAATCCCCAACTTGAAACTATACTACAAAGCTACTGTGATAAAAACAGCATGGTACTGACAAAGAAACAGACCTGTGGACCAGTGGAATAGATTAGAAGACGCAGAAACAACTCCAGACATACTAAGCCACCTCATCTTTGACAAAGGAGCCAACCACCCTCATTGGAGGAAAGGTAGCCTATTTAATAAATGGTGTTGGAAAAACTGGATTTCAACCTGGCAAAGATTAAAACTAGATCCATACCTATCACCATGCACTAAACTGAGATCTAAGTGGATTAAAGATCTAAATATTAAGACAGAAACACTAAACTTGCTGGAAGATAAGTTAGATAAAACTCTTGAAGATATTGGCATAGGAAAAGACTTTATGAACAAAACCTCAATAGCAAGGGAACTAGCAGAAAGAATCAACAGCTGGGATCTCATCTTATTACAAAGCTTCTGCACTGCAAGAGAAACCAACAGAGCTAACAGACAACCTACAATGTGGGAAGAAATTTTTAGCAGCTGTACCTCAGACAAAGGCCTACTGTCAAGAATATATAAAGAATTGAAAAAATCAGACCCCCAAATTCAAAGACTCAATTCAAAAATGGGCATCTGAAATGAACAGACATTTCTCAGACAAAGAAGTAAAAGCACCAAATAAATATATGAAAAAATGTTCAACATCACTGGTCATTCAAGAGATGCAGATGAGAACAACACTGAGATTCCACCTCACCCCACAAAGAATGGCTGCTATCAAGAAATCAACCAATAACAAATGCCGGCAGGGGTGTGGAGATAAAGGAACCCTTTTCCATTGTTGGTGGGAGTTTAGACTGGTGCAACCACTGTGGAAATCAGTATGGAGATACCTCAAAGAACTAGAACTAGAAGTCCCATTTGACCCAGCTATTCCCCTACTGAGGATCTTCCTCAAAGAGTTAAAAGAATCATACCACAGCGATATATGTGCACCTATGTTTATAGCAGCACAGTTCATAATAACCAAAGCTTGGAAACAACTGAAGTGCCCATCAACTGGAAACTGGATGAAAAAGATGTGTGTTGTTTTTTTTTTTTAAATAAAATGGAGTACTACTCAGCCATAGGGAATGAGAAATTAGACATTTATAGCTAAATTGATGAATATTGAAGACATACTCTTAAGTGAAATAAATAGGACACACATGTGTAAATACTGAGTAATTTTTCTGATATGAGAAACTGAAAGTGTAAATAAGGATTAAAATGAATAATTGATAATTTGAAATAGAAAGAAAAGGTTTCGAAGTCGTAGGGGAAGTGGGACAGGCAGGGAAAAGGAATGAAGGGAAAGGAAAAAATATGAGGAAAAATTGAAAGAAAGCCTTTGTAAATAGGGAGTGGTGAAGGGGTTGAAGGGAGTGGGAATGGGGAGAAAATAAGAACCAGAATACATCATGTAAAGTTTCAAGTTCCCTATGATGAATGTAAATGTATAGTATATTTAAAATGTACCAATAAAAGAATTTAAGAGTGAAAAAAGATTTGGTAAAATTCACCCATAAATCTGTCCAATTTTTGGGCTTTGCTTTTTGAGATACATTTTATCATTTTATTATTAATTCAACCTTATTAGGTGTTGTTCATCCATTTAGGAACTTTTTGGTCTTCTTGGTTTAATTTCAGGAGGTAATGTGCCTAGTAATTTGTTGATTTTTCAGTTTGGGATGTAAGTATAAAAATAGTTCTCTGGGAAGTGTCCAGTCTTTTAGCTGTTACCACAATTCAGAAATTGGCCTTCAGTTTCTTGAATTGTTCCTCTCTTTCTCTAAAATAGGAGAGAGAAAGAAAAGGACAGATTATCACTTAATAATTATATTGCTTAATATTTTATCCTTATTTTATAATACATAAATTTAGGTAATATTTTTATATTTATCCAAGTTTTGCATGTAATTTTTTTTTGGTACCAGGGATCAAACTCAGGACCTTACACTTGTGAGGCAGGCGGTGGAACCACTGAGCTAAATCCCTGGCCCTACTCTATGTTATTATTGCAATAGTAACTCTTTACTGTGGATTAGTTAAATTTCCCATGCTCAGACACAAAAGCTTACACGCATAACTTACAGGGGGGCAGGTTAAACTTGCCTTACTGCAGGCTACTTGGCAAAAACATCATGGTAGAAAGGCATGGAGGGTAAAATGCTTAGATCATTCAGCTTGGAAGCAGAACAAGGAATAGTGCCAGAGAGTAAAAAGGTTAGGCACCACATGTAGTACCCAAGATCACTCATCCATGACACATCCAGTCTCCTGATAATGTGGTTTGCTCATCTGCTACACATTTGTTATTCCAATCAAGTTGATATATGAGCATTATTGATCATAGTCCACTCCTTGCCAACTTGACACCAAAACACTTTGATTAAAACCACTATCTCCTAATAAACATAATTAGTTAATAATTCTCCCTAAAAGGATACAACTGTCTTAGTACAGCTGAAACACAATAATCTCTTCCCCCAAACTCAGTGTTTTCAAATTTGCTGAAATGTCCAAGTCACACACTAAAATTCCCATGAAAAAAGTAAAACTAGAAGGGAAGTTATTGATATGGGGTTGCTGGGGGGGGGGGAAGGTAAAATGGTCAAAGTATGCTGTGAGCATGTATGAATTTGCTAATGTGAAATGCAATTAGTTATATAACCAACAAAATGTCAGTAAAAGACAAAACGAACACTAAAAAATACAGTAGAGTCCTGTGGCTCCATGTCCAGTACCCAGTGCTCATGATAGTGAGATATAAATTCCAAGTGACAGGTAAGCCACCACCCACCAAGGTCTTGACGATTGTAGCCACATGGCCACTTCCTTGGACTAGCGCCACTACAGCTTTCCTCAGCACATAATCCATTTTCCTGGCATCTCCAATTTCCTGGGATCTCTACTTGCCCTGTAGCTTCATTCCCACATCTTCAAGTACTGCCCTCTCTGAGGCTCTTTTTCTGGCTTTTCAGGCCTTCTTAGAAATCTGGGTGGAACTCTTAGTGACTTTGTAACTCTTGCATTGTCCTTGCTGAAAAAACAAGCATCATGTGGATGATTCCAGAGTTTATTGTCAATGGGAGCAGTAGTCAGGCCCTCTGGACCATGGCTGCAATGGACTCTGCATGCCTAGGTGGCTATGCATATGAAACAAATCCCAGGGAACCAATTTCTTAGGAGGACCTTCTAGAGCATAGATAGCATGGACTCTTTTTTCAAAGGAAAATTGCCTACATTTTTACCTCTGAGACTGAAATGGTTGTGTTCTTGGTGATTACTTAGCTGCTCTCAAGAAATCTTTCTTCTTGTTCCTGTTCTAAGTACTTCTTTTTAATGCTGCTAAAATCTTCAACAATACCTGCTTGGTCTGAACTTTACAGGTGATTTTTTTGTGCCAAAATTTATGCTTTTACATTTTTCTGCTATGCTGCTTGAGCCTAATTCTCACTCTACATCTGGCAAAAGCAGCCAAAAGTACTCCTTTCACAGACTAAACATTGGGCTGCCTTAAAATTTCTTTCCTCAGATCAAATCAACTACCCTTAAACTCAGCCTCCCATAAATTCACAGCAAAGTGTAGACAAATTCTTTTGCCAGAATGTAACATGTATGGCATCTACCCCAATTTCTAATAAAGATTTGTTATCAAATGAATCCTGCCATGCATGGTGTTTCCATTCACATTCCTATCTGTATTTTGCTGTTCTAAGCTCTTGACACAATCACCAATCTGGCTCTATTTGCACATTTTGAGGACTTCTTTAGCCCACATCTGCATATATCACCGACGTATGATGCATTTAAGTCTTTTGGGAAGATCCAAGAAGGAGAATTGGTAGCTCAAATGGAAGCTCTAGTTTTAGGGTTTTGAGGAATCTCCACACTGATTTCCACAGTGGTTGCACCAGTCTACATTTCCACCAACAGTGGAGTATGGTTCCTTTTTCTCTACAGCCCTACCAGCATTTATTGGTTGATTTCTTTATAGCAGCCATTCTTCCTGGAGTGAGATGGAATCTCAGTGTTGTTTTAATTTGCATTTTCCTCATGATCAGTGATGTTGATCATTTTTTCATGTATTTATTTGCCATTTCTACTTCTTCATCTGGGAAGTGTGTATTCATCTCAAGTGCTCATTTTTGGATTGGGTCTTTTTGATTTTTTCAATTGTTTTTTTTGTTTGAGACAGGGTCTTGATATGTAGTTCAGGCTAAACTTGAACTCACTATGTAGTCCAGGCTGGCCTCAAACTCATGGCAGTCCTCCAGCCTAATCCACCCAAGTGCTGGCATTACAGGCATGAGCCACCATGAGCAGCATTTTTTCAGTTCTTTATATGTTCTAGATATTAATTCTTTGTCTGAGAAGCCACGGCATAAACTTTTTTCCCACTCTGCATGTTGTCTTTTCACTCTGTTGGTTATTTCTTTGGCTGTGCAAAATGAAATCTCAGTTTTTGATTCTTTGTGATATTTCCTGTGCAATCAGGGTTTCATTCATAATCTTTGCCTACACCTATGTCTTCAAGAGTTCTGCCTATCTTCCAGCAGATTTGTTGATTCTGTTTTAATATTTAGATCTTTGATCCATTTTGATTTTAGTTTAGTGCATAATGAGAGATATGGGTCTAATTTTGGTCATTGGCCTGGAAAGCCAGTTTTTCCAGCATGGTTTATTAAAGAGGCTTTTTTCCAGTGAAGGTGTTTGGTCCCTTTTTCAAACATAAGGTGGCTGAATGTGTTTGTAGTTATTTCTCCATATTCTAGTCTGTTTCATTGATCCTCAGATCTGTTTTTTTGTCAGTAGTATGTAGTTTTTAATCTCTATAGCTTTGTAGAATCATTTTAAGTCAGTGTTTTGATGTCCCCTGCATTGCTTTTGTTGCCAGGAATTGCTTTTGCTACTTTAGGTCTTTTCTGGTTCCCAGTGAATTTTAGAATTGTTTTTTCTCATTCTGTGAAATATATTATTAGTATTTTGATTGCAATTACATTAAATCTATACAACAATTTTGGGAGTATAGCCATTTTTACTATATTGATTCTTCCTACCCAAGAACAAGGGATACATTTCCATTTTCTGATATCCTTTCAATCTCTTCAGAGTATTGTAGTTTTCCATGTAAAGCTCTTTACTTCCTTCATTAGATTGATTCCTAGGTATTTTATTTTGGGGACACTATTGTGAAAGGTGTGGCTTCCCTAATTTCTCTCTTATAGAATTTATTATTTGTGTACAGGAAGGTATTGATATTTTAGTGTTGATTTTTTAATCCAGCTTCACTACTAAATTTGATTATTAAACCTAAAAGTGTTTTGGTGGTGGTTTTAGGATGTTCTATGTAGAGTATCATGTCATCTTCAAATAATGGTAATTTAACTTATTTTCCTATCCATTTCTAATTGATTTGGCTAATATTTCTAGAACTATATTGCATCATTGGGGTGAATCCTACTTGGTCATAGTATAGTCTTCTTGATGATTCGCTGCATTCTGCTTGCCAGTATCTTATTGTGAATTTTTGAATCTAAATTTATTGTGGTGATTGGCCTGTAGCTTTCTTTTTCGACTGGATCCTTCTCTGGTTTTTATATCAGGGTGACACTTGCTTCTAGAAATAAGTTTGAGAGTGTTGCTTCCTTTTCAATTTCATTTGAGAAGTAGTAGCATTAAATCTCTCTAAATTTATTGTAGAATTTGGCTATGAATCAGTCAGGGCCTGAGTCTTACTTTGTTGGTAGGTTTTTAATAATATCTTCAATTTCATTGACTGATTTAAATTTGTTTAATTTTTATATCTTCTTGATTCAATTTTGGTAATTCATATGTATCTAAGAATCTGTCCATTTCTTTTGTGTTTTGCATCTTACTAGAATACAGGTTCTCAAAGTAGGTCTTGATGATTTTCTGGATATCTGCAGGATCTGTTGTGATTTCACCATTTTCAATCCTAATTCCATGGATTTGAGTCTGTTCTTTTTTTTTCGATTAGTTTTGCTAAGGGTTTGTCAATTTTATTTAATCTTTCAAAGAACCAACTCTTTGGTTCATTAATCCTTTGTATTGTTTTCTTAGTTTCCACTGTATTGATTACAGTTCATGTTTATAATTTCCTCCCTCATATGAGCTTAGGGCTTGATTTGTTCCTCTTCTACTAGAAGCTTGATGTCCAAAATTAGGTTGTTTATTTGAGCTCACTCTTTTTTTTCTGATATAGGAATTCAGTTTTTCTTTGTCATGCAAGTATCTTATTTCTCCATGAATTTTCAGAGACAGTTTTGTTGAGCACATCAATCTGGGTTGGAGGTTGTTTTCTTTTAGGGGTTGAAATATTTCACTCCAAGCTCTCCTTGACTTTAGAGTTTGTATTGAGAAGTCTCCTGTGATTCTGATTGTCTTTCCTTTATAGGCAATTTGTTTCTTTTCTCTAACAGCTTTTCATATTCCATTCTTGTGTTTGATTTCTGGAATCTTGACTATTATATGCCTTGGTGTAGATTTATTTTGATCATGGAGAATTGGAGTTGTATATGCCTCACTTATCTGTAAGTCAGATTCTTGTCCCTGCTTGAGAAGTTTTCTGCCATTATTTCTGTGAACAGGTTTTTTAAAAAGTTACTTGTGCTATCTCCTGCTTTTTCACTGACTCCCACCAATCTTATGTTTTTCTTCTTTGCATCATCTAGCAGCTATTGGATTGATTTTTTATGGTTTCTTGGTATTTTAAAGAAATCTTTCTTTTCATGATTACTAATCACAATCCTATCACCTGTATCTGATAAACTGTTCTCAAATTGGTTCATTATGCTGAGTATTCTTTCAATGGAATTATTAATCTCATGGATATCTGTTTAAATCTGTTTCATGGATTCCACTTCTTTCCTATGTTGAGAGTTCATGATTTCCATCATTTTCCTAAGCTCCTCAATTTTTTTTGTAACTGCTCTAGAGTTACTAACCATGTCTTTCATTATGGTCACCACCTCTTTAGTTATCTAAGAAATTATTTTTTATTTGATTGTTTTGAGAGCTCATTCATCTGCTTTGTTACTTCTGGTGTTACCACTCAGAGAATCTAGGTGGATGGGTTTTGAATTGTTCTACCTCACTGTCCTCTGGGTTTGCCTTTGGCGAGCTGGAAATCTGGGGTTGCATCTTGCTTTATTGTCTTCTCATTTTCTATTTTTCTCAGTTTAATTCCTGGGTTGAGGATTATGAATTGCTCATGGCAGGTAGCTTTCTCAGTGGTATTTCGAGCCCTCAGGAAATGACTACTTCTCAGAGAAGTGGTCCCAGTGTGGCTGGCTTTTGGATTTTGAATTTGTTTCAAGATCCTGCCTCTTCAACTTACTGCAGATGAGAAGTTGCTGCTTATTGGCCTTTACTCTGGTTCTTTGGCACTGGCCTACAATATCACTTATGACCCTTAGGCAATCTCATTCTTGGCATAGTAGAAAGAAAAACTTATTAGAACAATTATGTTATCTTGGCTAGAGTAGTTCAATCAGCAATAACAATAGCATCAAATGCAGCCTAGCAGATGACAAACTGTGGTAACTATTAATTTGCCATCTTCAACCATATGAACTAGATTTTTGGTTATATAACAAAGTCTAAAATAATCTTAAATATCTAAAAATATAGAGCAAAATCTAAAAAAACAAAAACTAGAAACAACAAAAATACTTTTTTGATGAACAACAAAAAAACTAGAAATAATGTTCACACTCATATAAAAGAACAATCAAACAAAACAAAACAAAACAAAAACAAGAAAAGAAAGAAGTAGAAAATAAGAAAAAAAAGTCCACTTCAAGGCGTATCTGTGCTGTCAGTGGTAGACAAAGTAGGCAGAAAGAGTCCAGATCCAAGTTGATTAATCACAGGAAGCCTACTGTAAATTTACTGCAGGGTACAGAATAATTCCAGCAAGTCTACCCCTTTACTTTCTCTGAAGTTCAGGCTGGTTTCTGGCTGTGAGGCTGGAACCTGATTTGTTCAGCTTGCAACATCCTGGATGCCTCCTGCCAGCTTGAACTTGGCTCCCTCCTGGCTTGAATTGTGCTCCTTGACCTCCTGCCAATTTAAACTAAGGTGTGCCTCACCTTGACTTTGGAGGCACTAGCTGGAGCCAGTCCACAGCTGCTCTGAGTTCTAAGCTCAGGGCTTCTCTCCAATATGGCTACCAGCAAATGACCCTCCATGGGGACCTCTGAACCCAAATAACACACCAGCCATGGCAGTCTGCTGCATCCACTGCTCTGTTCTACTGGTGTGTTTCTCCATGGAGGCCTCTGGAGTTACCAGTAGTCACTGTGCATCTATCTGAAAGTTTGAGCTGCCACTCTCATGCAGTGAGTCTGGGCTCAGGGAGAAAATGCCACATGCTACCTGCTTCTTCCGTGTTGACATCTCTCTCTTTGCTCTCCTCATGGGCTTCAATTCTTGCTTCAGTGGCTCCCAAGGACCCACCTTCCTCATTCTTCTCTTCTTCATATTCCTATAATCCAGCATTTGGACACCATATCTCAGAGAGGCTGTTTCTC